AGCTGTAGTCCCAGGAGCAAGGTGTCTCTGGCCCGACTCCCGCCCTGAAGGCACACTGATGCTTCTCTAAAACTCCAGACCATTCTTTTTATGAAAAGGGCCACTTAGAGACAACATAAATAAAGCACAAAATGCAGAGCCCTAACAGAAGGTAGTTGCCCTGCCCAGGGATAATGACAGCTCAGTGTCCCGGGATGATTAGCCCAGGGTTCTTCTGCGCACTCGTTTTTATAAAAACACAATCATACTTTGCAACCTGACTTTCTTATCTTCGCTTAATACCATTTAGGGAACATCTTTTCCCTTATCAACTACTGAGTCTAACACTGTTTTGGTGACTCAGCGATATTTAATTGTGGAATATATCTTTATTTATTTCAGTAATTCCCTATGATTATATAGGACTATTTTATTAAAAAAATTTTTTAAATGTTTATTTTATTTTTGAGAGACAGAGAGACAGAGAGAGAGAGAGACAGAGACAGAGAATTCTAAGCAGGTTATATGTTGCCAGCACAGAGCCTGATGTGGGGCTCAAACCCATGAACTGTGAGATCGTGACCTGAGCCAAAATCAAGAGTCAGACACTTAACCAACTGACCCCCCCAGAGGTGCCCCCATATATAAGACTATTTTAAATGATTATTTACTTTTTTTGAGAGAGAGAGAGCTCTTGAGCACGAGCAAGAGAGGGTCAGAGAGGAAGAGGGAGAGAATCCCAAACAGGATCTGCACTGTGGGGCTTGAACTCCCCAACTCTTGAGCTGAATCCAAGAGTCAGACACTTAACTGACTGAGCCACCCAGCCACCCCAAGACTATTTAAATGAGCTCTGTGAGATCACTCCTTTAAATTTTCGGTAAATTCTTGACCTTTGTATTTGGGGGTGTGTATATCTAGAGAGAGAGAGGCATACACACACATCAGCCAAAATTTAAAAAAAATTATAGTTTGGGGCCCCTGGGTGGCTCAACTAGTTGGTTGAGAGTCTGACTTCGGCTCAGGTCATGATCTCGAAGTTCATAAGTTTGAGTCCTGCATCAGGATCTGCCCTTACAGCTCAGAGCCCGGAGCCTGCTTCCGATTCTGTGTCTCTCTCTCTTTCTGCTCCTCCCCTGCTTGCACTCACACACACACACTCTCTCTCTGTGTCAAAAATAAATAAACATGAAACAATTAAAAAATATTAAAGTTTAGTGTTGCTTGGAGGTCCAGCACTATAAAAGCCTGCCGGTTATGGGTATCATTGCACATCCTTCCTGTATTTGTATCAAATAATTTGGTCATGTACTTGAACTGGATGAACCCCGGGGGCAACTGTTCCTTCTGGTCCCGCAATTTACCATCCAAACTGCAGCCACCAGCAGTGGGCTCAAGACTACAGCGCTCGGTTCGCAACCAAGGTGGCTGACATTTGATATCTAAAATGGACTCATTGCTTGGGAACAAATCTAAGGACATTTATTAGATTCTCTCCATTTTGTCTGGAACTTGACTCTTTTTTAATATGCCCTTTACTGAAAAGGTTAGACACTAAGCATGCTTTGGAGATCCATCTCCTGAGGCTAGTGAATGAGGCTCCCGAGCTGTGGCCATCTTTGTTTTAAAACAGGGATGAGATGTTTTGTGAGCCAGTCATCGAAAGCGGATATGTTGATATCTGCACCAGCGTCCATCAGGGACAAATACCAGATCCACTTGTGATTTTTTTCCCTACTGTTGGCAAGCCATCACCAAAATCAAAATTGAGCTGAAGTGAATATATATATACATATACATACATACACACACACACATACACGCATACACATATATATGTGTATGTACATATATATATATTTGTTTTAAAATGATGTTCTAAAATCATAGCTGAAATGTATGGGCATAAGTCCCAGAGCACACTCCCTTCCACGACAGCACTGCTAGAGAGAAAATGTGTTTGCACTGGTAAGATTCGCTTTTAGGATTTCTGAATCTGCAGCTTGCAAGAGCCCATCCAGGAAGATGAACAGCTTTTAATCCAGTCTATCCCAGTAAGCAAATATATACCACTGCGTGTGGGGCGTATTGATATGGCCAACCTAGATAGAGGCCCCTGAATATACAAGGAAAAGCTTCTGTTTACATTCTTTGATACAGGGTTTAAGATAAGAGAGAATAAAGGAAATGAGCCAAGCCCTGCCTGCTTCCCTCTGAATCTCCCTAGACTCATTCCTTTGTCAAATTAAATAATTTCATCTTTAACTTAAACGCTTTCATTGGGCTCAGTTCTTTTAAAATACAAACCGAAGCTGAGCCTTGCAAATCTGAGACTCTGGACGCAGTGAGAGTGTGGTGTTTGGATGCTGACTGCAGGGGAGCTTTGGGCCGGGGCCGCGAGCCTGAGGCGCGGTCACTGCTCGGACGTTTGACTCCACAGGCATCCGATGGTGCACTGGGAGACAAGGCTTTGCTGGTACATTCTTGTTGTCCCCAGTAAGCGTGGCCAGCCAATTGTCCTGTGTGCTTTTCCTACAAAGACAGGGAAGTGGGAAGGATGGAGGAGAGGCAGAAGAAGAGAGGCCACTACCTCACCTGGTGGGGTTTGGGGGACTCAGAGATCCTGCCAGGTGAGCCGGTGACCTCGAAGTGAGGCCTTTATAAGACACTGGGCAGCTGAGCCTGCGGAGGACGTAGTCTCTGTGGTCGTGAGTTTCCATGCGGCTCACATGGGGGCAGGATGATCAGATCAAAACCAGCAAAGACGGAACCCAATGGCAAAGGGAATTTTACCACTAGACCAGCTTCTTGTTCCTGTTGTCTGGGTTAGCGGAAGTCCCTCTAGACACACTTCAGCCTCCACGGCCTAAAAGAAAACAGAGAAGGAGACAAACCATAGGAGACTCTTAACTACAGAGAACAAACTGAGGGTTGCTGAAGGGCAGGAGGGTGGGGGATGGGCTAGGTGGGTGACGGGCGCTACAGAGGGCACTAGTTGGGATCAGCACTGGGTGTCGTATGTAAGTGATGAGTCCCTGGGTTCTACTCCTGAGACCAATACTACACAGTATGTTACCTAACTTGGATTTAAACAAATAAATTTTAAAGAATAATAGAAAATGCGGAAGAGAAAGTATGAGTGCTTGGGTAACAGCCATCTCCCCTCTCCTCTGTGGATTTTGGAGAAGTCCGGTGAACTCTGGGTTTCTGAGCAGACGTCCATGGTGACCTGCTGCGTCCCGCCCTCTTCCACCCTCTTCCCCAGAAGACAGCTCCTCTGCCATCCGTCTCTCTCTCTTCTTCCCCTCAAAGGATGCACAAGCTGACAACATGTTAGTTCTCACAAGTGCTGAGCTCTGTCCTAAGCCTTTCTATCCAATTCCTTATGTCTTCCTCACAACAATTGATATGTTTATGCCTCTTTTATAAATGAGGTAAGTTCTAGAAGGGTCAACATTTACCCAGCTCTTTCCGTGGGAGCATCCAAAAGTCACACCGCAGAGCTCCGTGTGAACCAAGTGAGTGGTCTGGAACGTTCTGTGAGCAGTTCATCTGACTTATTATGTGGAGGTTCCCACACACCAAGCCTGGTGCCCGGAGCACCTGCCCCAGAACCTACCTGGGTCCCCAGGGCCCACCCCAACCGCCTATGACACCCCTGATTCTCACACTCTCTCCAGCCTGTGGGGTGGCCTGGGCTCCGAGCATCCTGAGCGGACCCTCCAAGGGGTTGTCTGGAAGGCCTGCTTGGCTGAATGGTGATGCCTCAGATGACACCCATGGAATTTTCTGCAGGGTCGCTCTGGGAGTCGTTCCCACCCTTCCTACCCCTGACACTTGCTTTCCTCCTGTTAGCCAACACTGTTTTGGGAGATTCCATTGAGAAATCCCTGCTTGTCATTCTATTGCACACGGTTTCCAAATTCAGGAGGAAGAGGAGGAGAAAGAGGGAAATGAAGCCATCCTTGCTCTAGAATTTAACTCTTCCCCTGATGTGGAAACCAAACATGTCATTTATGCTGCAACCCTAGCCTGGCTTAGCTCACAAAACACCATCTATCAAAATTCCCAGCTCACGGAGTCACCGTGTCAGACTCAATTATAGAGTTAATTCCACTCTAACTGGAAACGGGGTTCTGGTTCATTTCCTCCAAAATCTCTGGGGATGCTTTTCATACAATTCCAGTGTGTCCAAGTTCAAGCCAGTTCAGTTCAAATCAATGGACACTTTCTGGCTCGTCTTCCGCGAATGTAGAAACACACATGCACACTGGCTCACCCCCACCCCACACTAATGCACGGGCGCACATGCACGCACTCACACACAGCGTCGCTTCCAACACTTGGTCAGCACAGCACGTCTTTAAGACGTCACGTTCTCATTCTCCCTGAAGATATATGTTTATTTCTCGGCGTTGGCTCTCACAAATCATTTTCGTAGCTTGCTACCTCCATTCTTGTTCTCATTGCAATAGTTACATTCAGATGAACAGGAAGTGACAAGAACAGAACACTGTGTCTTAAAAGAACTCACCACAGACTGTATTATGACATTGCTATCATCAGACCTTTTCCTGGGACTAGACCTCCGGCCAGTACTGATATGCAACCGAATTGTGGTTTTCACTCCTTATGCTCAGAGTATCATGGGCAGGGCATCATTAGAGACCCACTCAATGCGGGCAAGAAAATAAGCTTGCACACAAATACAGGAAATGTGACTCCAATACTTCTATTCTTCTCATTCGTTAGCTTCAAGGTAATATTTGCAAAGTTTTCTGGTTTTCCCTCGACCAGATATCTTGGGTGAAATTGTATAAAATTATCACTTAAAGTTGTATTGAATTATCATTTTAGTAGCTGAAAATGGTTGAACATCATCAGTTTTGTATACCATCACTAAAGATAAGTTTACATGGTTGGAAATTTCATGTATAAGAAGAGTCTGACTCTTGACATTATTATAGGATTGTGACTACTAGTTTAAGACAAAGGGTAAACTTCAAAATGTATTGATTAATGCTCACTTCAGCTGTACATACACTAAAGTTAGAAAGATACAGAGAAGATTAGCGTAGCCCTGGCACCAAGATGTCATACAAATTTTTGAAGCGTTCCGTAAAATATTAGAAGCTATTTATTAACAAATTTAACTATAGTAATTTTCAGAAACAAGAATTTATAAATACCTGAGCTTTCTAAACAAAAGCCTGTGTTTAATGACAAACCTTTGGATGTGGTGCACGTAAGCATGTACCCAAGTAGAAAAATAAAAAAGTACAGGATATAATTTGAGAAGATAGTCACATTTAGTGAAATGAAAGTATAGTTCATATTCTTATGTTCTGACGATATTAATAAAAAAATTGCAATGTGGTTGCGTAAGGCCAGCACAGGAAAAGCACTTTTGTAAATTACATATAGTGTTACCATCACAGACCCAGAAAAGTAGATTGAATAAGAACCCCAGAAAGGGCAGGTGCATATACCTATAACTGAATAGAAGAAATTATTAGTTTTGTCTCACAAAAAGATGTACTGTTTTGATTTTAGATGTAGCTCCAAACTCATGTGATTTTTTTTTTTAATGTTCTTTTATTTTTGAGAGACAGAGAGAGACAGAGCACGAGCAGGGGAGGGGCAGAGAGAGAGACATGCACACAAAATCCAAAGCAGTTTCCAGGCTCTGAGCTGTCAGCACAGAGCCTGATGTGGGACTCGAACTCATGAACCTTGAGATTGTGACCTGAGCTGAAGTCATATGCTTAACTGAAAGAGCCCCCTAGGCTCCCCTAAACCTCATGTGAGTTTTATTTGTAACTGGGAATTCTAGAGCCTTTCTTAGCTCTGCTTTCCAAATGGCTGGCTGTTCGTGAGGCCAGGTCATGAGGAAACACGCAGGACTCAGAGCTGGCTATTTTGAGATGGACTAATTGGCTAGTGACCACACCCGAGGGGTCCCTTGGGTCAGAAGAATCCCGTGTCCCAGCTTTCAAGGATCGTGCTAAATAAACCCTACACCCGTCTTAGTCCTCATTCCATTTCTTTTCTTTCTTTCTTTTTTTTAATGTTTTATTTATTTCTAGGAGAGAGAGAGACAGTGTGAGCAGGGGAGGGTCAGAGGGAGAGGGAGTCACAGACTGAAACAGGCTCCAGGCTCCGAGCTGGCAGTCAGCACAGAGCCCGACGCGGGGCCCAAACCCACGAACCGCGAGATCATGACCTAAGCGAAAGTCGGACACTCAACCGACTAAGCCACCCAGGCGCCCCAGTCCTCATTCCATTTCTGAGGAGAAAGGGGAATCTGTCGTTTAGCTGTCGTTTAGTATTTTTCCAGACACTGTGTTTGGGTTCCAGGGCGGGTGTGAATGGTCAAGAACGTGGACCTGGGGGTATGACTCCCTGAGTCTGAGGCCTTTTTCAGAGGAGTGACCCTGGGTAGGTTACTTCCCTCGAGAGTCAGTTTCCACCTGGGTCCAGCCTGGATAACAGCACTCTCCTCACCACAGAGCCGATGCAGGGGTTAAGTCAGGAAAGGTCTCTCACCTGTCCCTTGTGGCCGGTGTTTTCTGGGACAAGCCACGTGCCGTGGAATTACTTTCGGTGCTGGGAATTGTGACCCCGTATCTCAGGCCTTTGGCGAGAAGGAAACACTTTATTTCCAGCTTGGAGAGCAAAGCCCGACGGACAGAAGTACAGTCGGAACAACAGCATTTCCCCCTAGTCTCACCTCTTCTTCCAGGGCGTCCCGCAGGATTTCCTGAATCGCGGTGGCTACTCTCACAGTAGTTCCCGAAGGCTGGGGCCTGAGGACCGCCCTACGCACTTCAGGACATGTACTAGCTCAGAGCCATCTTGCCCAGATACCTGAGCAGGAGCCTTTGCTGGAGGAGGCGTCCCTGATGGGGCCTGAATGCCAGGGGTCACGGATCCCCCACAGCGCCGGAATCTCAGAGTGGAAGGGACATTCAGTGTTGTTATTCCAGGACTTTCAACTTGCAGGGGGTGGAAGTGAGACTGAGGCAGGAGGGGCAGACATGTGTGGCTACTGCGGGGTTTACCAGATGGCCTTGATCTCTGAGACATGGTGAGTGGTGACGAGCTCTTCAGACAGTGGAACCTCGGAAGGGGAGGCGGCCACGTGGCCATGACCTGCCACGCTCAAGCCCTTGAATGTGGACGTTTCCTTAGCGAGAAAAGGGGAGGAGTATCTTCCCTCTTTGTGCAATTGATAAAATGAAAATAAATCCCCAGGACTTTGCAGAGTCTGCACCCACAGCCTCTGTTTCCCACTCTGGGAATTTGCCTCGGTCTCCTCCGTCTGACTGGCTTGGGGTGGAGGGCATTCCTCTGCTCGGTCAGCCCCAGTGCCTATTTTCCTTCCCGCTTTTGCCTTTTGAAGTGTCTGGCTTTCAGTCATCCAGAATGCCGGCTGAGTGCAGCGCGATCTTTCTGTCCGAGGCACACGCAAGTTCTTTCTGATCTGCTGTCACAAAGCACCCGACACCCAGACTGGTCCCCGAGCCTCGGTAATTTGGTTTGACTCTAGGTTAATGCCTTCCCGGTGCTCCGATCTGGAAGGCATCCAGCGGAGGAAACCTGCTACCCGTGTGAGGAGCAGATGTTCAAAGATGTTTTTTAACTTCTCCTCTTGTAAATACTTTAAGGGAAGTATTCATTTCATACCTCTTGGTTGTTTTTTTTTTTTAACCTTCCTCTGGGGAGATTAAAAATGAACCCTTTATTTGCTCAGTCTCTGAATTAGCTGTTACCGTGTATTTAGAGCTCCACTTGCCTGTCCACAATGCCCTTGGAAAAGTCTTCCATTCTTCTCCCTTTACTTAAAAAAATGTTTATTTATTTGTTTTGGGGGGAGTGAGCAGAGGGACAGAATCCAAAGGAGGATCTGAGCTGTCAGCACAGAGCCCGACGCGGGGCTCAATCCCACAAACCATGAGATCATGACCTGAGCCGAAGTCGGATGCTTAAGTGACTGAGCCACCCAGGCGCCCCCTTCTTCCTTTACTTTTGTTATCATTATCTGTGTCAGAAACATTTGTGCAGCAGGTTCCAAAACTTAGCTTGGATGAAATTACCAAAATGAGGAAAGTGTGCTGATGTTTATCTGTATTTATGTAAAAGAGGCTTTTTTTTTTTTTTTGGTTGTTGGTGCAAGTTCTTAGATGTTTATTGAATAAATGAGTGGGTGACTCATAACCACATTGGTACCGGGTTTGGAAACAGACTTAATTTTATGTTCTGAATGCTTATGTCAAATATCTATCAGCTGAGGGTTTTTCTTTAAATTAACTTTCTTTTTAAATCTTGGAGTAATTTTAGAATTTGAGAACAATTGCATGGATAGTACAGAGAGCCTGCCCATGTTCACATTCTAAGTAACCATAGTACGTTTGCGAAGACCCTGAAATTAACATGATGGTGTTACTTCTAACATAACTGTGAAGACTTTGTTCAGATTTCTCCTGGTTTTCAGTTAATGTTCCTTTTCTGTCCGGGATCCAGTGCAGGAGACCACGTGGCATTTAGAACACGTTGCTTCTTTTTTTCTCATAAAATTAAAAGAGCAGAAGTTGCCTCTAACAGGTAACAGTTGATGAACGTTGTCAGGAGTAGGCAGGATTATTCTGCAAAGGGCCCAATTTACAGCAGATCTCACAGGATTTGTGTCCTGTTGCTGCGGGTTGTGTCATCATTGTTGTACAAAAGCAGCAACAGGCAATAAGTAAACAAATGGGCAATAGTACTATTTCAATAATACTTTTATTTGTAGAAACGTGATTGGGCCATATCTGAGCCTTAGGCAAGAGTTTGCCAACCTCTGATTTTACAGAGCTGTGGTTCAACATCAAATGTGGTGTAACAGCACTAAAATCTACCTTCTCTCATTGTTACCAGAGCTTTTAGGGCCTCTGTGTGCCCTGGGGGCAGGCAGGCTCTGTGCTGAGGTGCGGGCCTCTAAATGGGCCCCGCCTGCTGTCTACACAGGAGGTGACAGAGTGGTCTTGACTGGAGAGTTTTCTGTCTACTTTTATCTACACTGGAAACTCTCATCCATGATCCTAATAGAATGATCATCATCGACATTTAAATGGCAAATTTAGGATTATTGTCATGTGATAAGGCTGTGAGCTAATCATACCTGTTCTGGGGGCGGGGCACTTTTGAACAACTGTCTGGTAAATCTAGCTAATTGATTCCTTTTTTATTTTTGTGAGATTCATTCACCTTTCACACAGTCAGAGGTTACTTCTCTGGCAATTGTGCTGTTTATTCTGAGTTATTAATTTTTTAAAAAAATACAGATATTAGGGGCACCTGGGTGGCTCAGTCAGTAGAACGTCCAACTAATGGTTTCGGCTCAGGTCATGATCTCATGGTTCATGGGTTCAAGCCCCGTAATGAACCCTCCCTCCCCCACTGATGGCGTTGAACCTGCTTGAGATTCTCTCTGTCCCTCTCTCTCTGCCCCTCCTCCACTCATTCTTGCTCTCTCCCCCTCTCTCAAAATAAATAGACAAACTTTAACAAAATACAGATTTTACCTTTTAGAGCAGTTTTAGGCTAACAGAAAAACTGAGCAGAAGGCACAAACAGTTCCCAGATACTTTGTGTCCTCACAAACGTACAGATTGCCTCAACCTGTTGGATAGTTTTATGTGTCAACTTGCCTGGGCCACAGAGTGTCCAGATATTTGGTCAAATGTCATTTTGGGGATATCTGTGAGGGTGTTTGAGGATGATATTGACAATTAAATCAGTACACTGAATAATGTGATTGTCCTACAGAATGTGTGGGCCTCATCCAATCAGTCAAAGGGTTGTCTGGGACAAAGGCTGACCTTCTCCCCAGTAGGAAAGAATCCCTTTTGCCTGACTGCTTTTGAACAGGGATACTGGATTTTCCCGGGTCTCAAGTGTGCCGTCCTTTGGATTGGAATTTATGGCGCCTGCTCTCTTGGGCTTGTAGACTGAAGACCCTGTGATCTGTCAACGTGTGTATTCATGCGAGCCAATTCCTTAAAATAAAGCTATCTGTACATTTGTATCTGAATCTGTATCTGGGTCTGTATCTGTATCTACACACATTCTTTGGGTCTCTATTGGTCTTGTTTCTCTGGGGAATGCTGACGAAGTACACTTGCCATCAGCATCCTCCACCAGAATGATTAATTTGTTACATTTAATGAACCTGCATTGACCCATCATAATCATCCGAAGTCCATACTTTACATGAGGGGGTCAATCTTGGTGTTGCACATGGATGGGTTTGGACAAATGTATGACATGTCTCCATCATTATAGTATCAGACAGAGTAGTTTCACGGCCCTAAAAATCCTCTGGGCTCCACCTTTTCATCTCTACTCCTCACTCCCCAATCGCTAGCAACCATTGATCTCTACTATCTCTGCCTTGTTCCAGAATGCCAGACCATAGTTGCAATCTTATAGGATACAGCCTTTCCAAATTGCCTTCTTTTGCTGAATAATACACACTCAAGCTTCCTTCCTGTCGTTTTGTGTCTTTATAGAGCACTTTTTTTTTTTTTTAAAGAACTGAATAATAGTCCATTGTCTGGATGCACCACAGTTTATTTGTCCACTCGTCTACTGAAGGACACCTTGGTTGCTTCCAAATTTGGGCACTTAGGAATAAAGCTGCTGTAAACCTCTGTGTGTAGTGTGTTGCATGAACGGAACTTTTCATCTCATCTGGGTAAATACCAAGGAGTGTGATTACTGGCTCATGTGGTAAGAGTATGTTTAGCTTTATAAGAAACTGTCAAACCACCTCCCAAAGCGGCTGTGCCATTGTGCATTCCCACCAGCCATGGACAGACTTCCTGCGGCTCCACCTCCTCCCAGCATCTGGTGACGTCAGCGTTCTGGATTTGGGCCATTCTCCTAGGCATGCAGTGGTTTCGCCTTGTTTTAATTCACAATCCCCTGACGATGTATGACGTTGAACACCTTTCCGTATGCTTATTTGTTCCCTGGATATCTTCGGCGAGGTGTTGGTTCAGGTCTTTTGCCTCTTTGTTAAGTTGGGCGATTCATTTTCTTATTGAGTTTTAAGAGTTCTTCTTATATTTTGGATACCCGTCCTTTGTCAGACGTGTCTTTTGCAAATATCTCCTCCCGATCTGCCATGGCTTGTCTTAGCCTCTTGATAGAGCTTCTACAGAGTAGAAAACTTTAACTTTAATGAAGCCCAGCTTGTCCACTATTTCTTTCAAGGATCGTGCTTTTGATGTTGTGTCTAAGCGGTCCTCAGCAAATCCAAATCATCTGGAGGTGCACCTATGTCAGCTTCTGGGAACTTTACAGCTTTCCCTTTTACCTTTAGTACTATGCTCTATTGAGAGTTAAGTTTTGTGAAGGGTATAAAGTAAGTGTCTAGATTCTTTTTTTTTTTTTTTTTTTTGTTTTTTTTTTTTTTTTTTTTTTTTTTTTTTTTTGCCTGTGCATGTCAAGTTGTTCCTGTGCTGTTTGTTGAAAAGACTACCCTGTTTTGACTGATTTGCCTTTTCTTCTTTGTCAGAGATCATTTGGCTCTATTTATGACGGTCTCCTTCTGAGATCTCTCTTGGTCCCATTGATCTTTTTGTTTATTCTGTCACCAAAACCAGACTGTCTTGATTCCTGTGAAACTACAAGTCTTGAAGTTAGTGTCAGCCTTCCAACTTTTCTTCTTAATAGTGTGTTGGTTAGTCTGAGTTTGTTCCTCTTTGAAATTTTACACATTTTTGAGATACAGATTCCTCTTTTTTTGAGATATGGATTCCTTAAGCCTTTCTATATTTTTTTGTGACAAATTAAGATACATATGGCTTTTAATTAAGATTTTATATATGAATTCTTTGAAAATCTTTACTTATAGGTCTTCAGTCTTCCCTCTATTTGGACACTCTGACATCAGGTAGCCCTTGATTTTGTTTCATGTTTCCTATCAGTGTGATCATGTGCACAATGTTGGTTTTTGTTTTTTAAATTGTTTTTCCTGTAAGTTTTTAATGCTCCAGTTATCATCTGTAGAAGTCACAGTTTGGGGATTAGATATTCCTCTACATAGGTGAAGAAAATGAATTTCCCAGAGTTGCAAGGTGTGGTTTTTGGCATATTTGGTAAAAAAAAAAAAAAAAAAAAGTAATAAAAAAGAATTTCTAAGAACATTTCCCTACCTGTGAATAATCTGGTTTTATTTCCTGCTTGGCTTGTCTGAAGGGCACTGATCTTCCTGGGAATATCTCCAGGTTTCATGAGACCCTGAGAGAATTGCGGTTTATGGGCAGAGCTAAAAAGAGTTGATATTACGGAAGAAGGAACTGACAGCTTTGCCTTGTGACTAAAGACGGCCTGCTTTCTCCATCCCTTGACTCATCCGTGAAGTTTTTTGGGTCCAGGAATGTGATTTGGGAAAGCCTTAAAAAGGGCATCACTAATGGTTCAACGCATGCTCCTCTGGATGAATGTTTGATAGAGAGAATGACACAATTGTTAATAGAAACAAAACTGGAAATTGTCCATTTGGGACTGATGTTTACTCTTAAACCCATGGCTTTAGTCTTTATTTTTAGTTTTGAATACTTTGGGAACATCCTAGCAGTTATGGATTGGGTCCCTAGAAAAAGAGTTACACAAAATTTTTGTATGTTTTGTAAGGGATTCAAAGAGTCTGTGCCTCAGAACGAAAACCTGTGGTTTAAGATTCTCCCATGGAACTTACATTTTGAAGGCACACGTCATATGTGCTATATAAGTTCATCTGAGTCCTATTTCACGGATGAATCCTTTGCTGATCATGACTGTTTTGTTTCAATGCTATAAACAAAGAGTGAGCAAACTGTGGTCTGTGGCCCTCATACGACCAGCCGACAGCTTCTGTAAATAAAGTTTTATTAGAACACGGCCACAACCATTTGTTCATGCGTTGTTTGTGGCTGCTTTCAAACTACAAAAGCCAAGTGGAGTGGAGGGAGAGACTGGCCCGCAAAACTGAAAATTTCATTTATTATTTGGACCCATTCAGAAGAAGGTGGCTGACTCTTGCTAGAGAAATGGCATTTGGGAAAGTGGAATTTATGGCCTTATATTTAATACGTGTCAACGATTAACCGTATTTGAGACAGTCTCTGAATCACATGATCCTGGCATTCATGTAGCAGGGCCCTCCTCGGGCCTTCCCTGTTACCTCGGGTTGTGGTCCAAGCCTCCAAGCAGAGGACGATTGTCACCCCCGGGGTGGAAACAAGGCCCTCCCCCCCAGCCTACCCCTGCAACCTCATCCCCGCACCACGGGAGACCTGGCATTGCACAGGCCAGCCTTGCCTGGCTGGTTCGTTCCACACTCTCTGCTTTTGAGCGTGCTGGTAAGAAAATGAGGGTATGAAACTCCAAAGGTCACCGTTTATTTCCTATTGATGAGGCGTAATGTTCACTTGCCCCTTCCCCCTGCCCCCCCCCCCCCCC